GCAGCTATCTTGGCACCATGTAGTGATGCACAGTTCATGTCAAATTTGTCTGTATGTCATAAAATTTACATTTAAAGCAAATTTGAAATATCACACACACAGAGATTTGCGGAGAAAAGAACAATAGTAAGAACAAAGGCCTGAGCTACAGCTGGAGGCTGTTTTGTCTACGAGCTTTATGTGTATAAATACTCACATAAACAGCATCAAGAGATGTTAAATACAAAAATCAATGGTCTCATTTCTAGAACACAAATAAAGAGCAAGCCCATGGGCTTTAGAAAGTACTCTATGTTGTACAAACAAAATAAAAACCAATGCAACAGCTGTCTGAAACACATAAGACAGATTCAGTAATAAAAAACAGAGAATTTGATTTGATTTGAAAGAAAAAAAAATACTGTTTCCTACTGCTAATTAAACAATAATAATTTCCTAGTGAGCTAAATCTGGTGTGGCCCTGACTGGCAAACCTTCCTGTCAAAGTTCTATGATAAATGTTGTCCAATCCAAATGTCATGAACTACCATATTCCTGCATCTCCATCACAGGACTGATGAGGAATGATTGGTCAATTTGTTACAACTTTTCAAGAAGGTAAATCAAAGAGTACTTTTTCTTATTTCAGTCATCCTTTAGTTTGCGATTTGATATATGTATCATTAGCTCCTAATAGCTGAGGTGACCTGTGTGTGGTTGGACACTACAGTTCAGGTAAGGGAAGCGCTAGATGCGTGTATTGTGTGTTAGTGCTATAGTATCTGTATATTCACTCTGTGAATATTTTTACTGACTAACGAAGAAAACATTTTTTTAAAATTATTTATAGTTTCTAGTTAAACTCTGAACAACACAGCTAACATGAATTGAGTGTATCTCCAATAATAATTCTAAGCAGACTGACTTTTCCAGTGGTCATAAAATCACTAAAACACGCACATTCTGCCTTTAAAGAGCTGCTATAATGAAAATCTGAATTTTCTTTTATAGAGGAGTTTGATGTTACGTAAACATTGTTAAAGTTTCAAACATACTCTGCACTCCTCAGTCCATGAAGTCCATATATACAAACAGCCAGTTTTGAATTCATTGTTTTTGTGATGTCACGAAAACCAGCACATTTACATAAATCCACCTATTCAGCCTACAGCATTTTAGGTCTGGTCTGCTGTTTGAATGGGGCACATTACAGAGCAGCCAATCAGAACAGAGCTCATTTACATATTTGAGTCTTAAAGGTACAACAACAAAGAACAGTCTGCCAGTCATAAAAATGAATAATAACTGTATTTGGTTCATAAACCCATGCAAACGTCATAAATTAAAAAATGTAAAAAAATTAAATAGATATGTAGCCAAAAAAATGTGGCTAGTATACACTTTTTTGCTCATTTCGTTCATTTTAAGGAATTATTGTATAGCGGAGTTATTACTGGACACATAATAAAAAGGTTTTAACTCTAAACACTAGACTGTCAAAAAATCTGCATAGACGTGCCCCAGAGCCAATAGGATATAGCACAACACTCCATAATCGTCATTTGTTTCTTTACCTGTACGCTGTAAAATGACAGTGTAAGCTCTTACACATTGACATCATTTTGAAAAATGCACTGATGTGACAGAGGTGAGTCATAACCCAGCGTCCGAGCGTCACTGAGCCTGTTTGCTAGGCAACCAGACTTGTGATAATTGTCAAAAATGACAGGCTCTTCTCCTTTAATTGCCATTCTCGAGATGTGCCCATGCCACAAGAGAAAGCCACTGGGGTTGACAAAACCTGCCAAGCATGATCAAGCACTCGGAGGCAGAATGAAGCCTGAGCCTGAGCAGGCCTGGCTCCTGTTAGAGCTGATGGCTCCGTGATGTGTAGCATGCCCTAACCCAATTCACAACTATGTTTTCAGTTGTCTTCACCTTCACCAGCACAGAATTGACAGTATTGAGCACCGTGAGATAGAAGTGGGTGTGGAAATATGCGAATGAATCGTCACCATCATGAAACAACTGGGATTCTGCTGTTTTTGGGAAATGAAGAACTGCAAAACAAGAAAATAACTCTGATTCAAATAATGCCTCAAAGTACTATGAGACACATGGCATAAATTTGTAAACCTCACTGTATTTTTAAGCTGCAGTGTGGGCAGTGGTGTGTTTGTATTGGATAAAATCTCTGATTACACCAGAAATGAACAAGCAGACTCACACCAATTCTACACTTTAAGCCACCTACCTAAAAAAAACATGTTTTCTAAGCAAACAATGTCATCACAAGTTTGTTCAATGAACCCTGTCTGCTACTGCATGCAGTTTTGCATTTTCAGAACTATTTTTGTTTGACTTGAAAAGATTCCATTTAGCATTAAAACAGTTTCTGTACTATGAAAAGATGCAACTTCAACAACATTGAAAGGTGCAATAAATAAAGAGGAACAAACAGGGAAAAACAAAGGAAAAACAAGGGAAAAAGTTAAAGTGTATTAAATATACATTCTTTAAAAAGTCCAAACAGCCTTCAGATTCATATATTGAGTGCACCTTTGTTTTTTAAGGTCATGGAAATCAGATCAGGTAGCAGCCCAAACAGGCTAAAAATGATGTTATATCCTCTACACTGCTGATTCTCATTCAAGTTTCACTACTATTCTGGTTTTATTAAAGAAAACTAGCATGTATGCTGCACATATAATTCTTATAGGAACCTATACAAACTAACCAAGTGTAATAAATGCAAACCAGTATTCTTAAGTCTTTTTGTGGGTTACCAAACCCAAAGTTCCAACATTCAATAGATATATAAATAACAGTGTTTCAACAGTGCTGCAGCAATAAAACCAACAATAGGGGTCATTTTTTTAATGTGTGAAATCATCTAGTGGGGGAATAATGTCTCCAGGAGGCATTAGTGTGGACTTTTCCAGAAGCCAGGAATAATGTTCTACCATCTAAAGCCCTGTTTATGCCTGTGTGGTCCACACTAAAGCGGGCCAAGCTAAAGCCAGGCCTGAAAAAGGGCACACACATTCCGGTTTCTCTTTTCACACCGGCCACGAAAAAGCGATGCTTGCACGAGGACCACCACGGCTAACCTAACACAGCACAGGCACTCCCAGCTGCAGCACAGGCACACATTAAAAAGAAAAGCAGCTCGGCAATATCAACAAAACACGCGGAAAATCAACAACTGTTCCACCCTGAAGATCGCAACAAAAACAAATACTAAAAATGACAATAATAACTGGCTATAAAAAAAAAAAAATATATATATATATATATATATATATATATATAATTTCAGCCACAAAAATTACTTTTTGAATTGTTCAATTTGTTTGACAGTAAAGGCTCAAAGCTACCAATATAAAGCACAACAGAAACAGATTCTTAATGTCCTATTGGAAGAATATCATCACATCACTTAGGAGTGTTAGGAGGCAGTTTAGAGCGCAGTCTGTTGTGGGTGAAATGTTTCCCATTACAGCTTAGCCACATCCTCTACTGCCATCCGCACTGAGATTTCCATTATTTTTATATTCACTTTATAGTAAGAAATCCTTACTTGCTAAAAATGCTGTGAGGGCTCGAAAAAGCAAACGTACCCAATCAAATTTTGCTTAATCATTTTCTACTGATGCATGTTAAGAAAATGTTCCTATACAAAAAACATGAGACAATAATTACAATATACAGCATATTTGATCTGTCTGACAATAAAAACAAAACAATCTCAAATATAATTCGAGATGACAGCTGAAAACCTATTCATTTCCATATGATAAAGTGAACTGCAGAAGCAGCTGGGTAACTAAATAAACTCACCTAAAGTGACCCCGAAATAAAAAAGCATGGAACTTTTATTTCAGGTTTTTTTTTACTTTTACCAGCTTTTCCCAGCTAACAAAATGATTGCTCTGACCTGTTGCCAAAGCGTCAGGCCCGTGAGGTTTGCGAGACTGATGAATCACTGCTGCTAATTCCCCACTATTGAGAAGTGGGCAGGAGAGCGTGTCTCTGCTGCAGGACGTTCAGAGACAGACATGATTCAAAGCTCAACACAGGAGTCCCCAGGCTGTCACTGCTAGCTCGTCCAATTATACAGCACACAGAACTCGTACATACACAATAAGAGAGAGCGTTGCACCACCTATTATGTCATACACAGAGATGAAAGGCCATAGTGGGGCAGGCAGAACAGAAGGAAACAGTAAATATCGAAGAGGATGAAGGACATGACAGCAATCCGGAGTAGAGAATGAGCTGCACTTATCAGGAGCCCCATTAGAAACAGGAAGGCAGATGTAAGCAGACGTAAATTACTGTTAATCATCACAGCTCCAGGATTTTTGTGCTCAGACGCTAACAAAGTGCACGAGAGGCATTTTAAGCGGAGCGAGAGAGGAGGAAAAAAAAGCTCTCCGCGTGCCAGCGAGATGGAGCTGTGCTGAAAAGTCGAGCGCTCCGGCCCCTGCCTCACACAGCCGCAGCTCCATCCCTGTGGATGTGAGGAGGAAACCAAAAAAAAAGAAAGAAAGAGGGGAAAAAAAGTGAGAGAAAAGGAGGACGATAGGCTGTCCCACTCCACTTTTGTGCTCTGATGTCACTAAACACATGACCCAGCCTCTCCAGTAACAGCCCACGAGGAGGGGAAAAAAAAGTGTGTTTTAAAGCTTACACGTTTTTGGATTGTGAGAATGTTTCATTCCCCTCACAAACAACCACAGAACCACAAGTGCGGTGCGCGGAGTTTTCCCCAGGACGACAGGAGGGAGCCACTGGGGTGTAAATGGTTAATCGGCACGGGTCAACCCCAGTCCCAGAGACCCAGCGAGTCAGTAAGTAGACTCTAACCACACTCATATACGCCTCGATTCTGCTCCATCCAATATCTGTGCCTGTACTCTTTACTCAGCCTGTTTCTGACATTGTGGCAATACCCAAATTTGTGTGCACACAGTTCATTAATTATATTTAAGAGGGGGGGGGCGGTTTGCGTGTATTTGCCCTGATATGGTTTTGTGTTCTCAGTTTAGGACATCAAGGGTCACCACGACCCTTCATCAAAAGGAGAAATATCCTCTGAGGATAACCAAGTGTGGCTATGGCATCTAACAGTCTTTTCAGCTCGGTCACTCCATGTCAGCAGAACTTCTTCTGGGGTAAGTGCTGTGCAAAATTATTTTTAATTCATGTGCGTTCGCTGTGGTGGTTCAGGCGCGGGTCATTCGGAAGCCACCTCTGCGGAAGGCACCAGCAGCTCTGGGTCAACGACCACTCACACGTACATATACGCACTTCTGATCATATCAGACACAGAGCACAAAGCAGAAAGCCACTTCACAAATGTCAATAGTTGCACTGTTTACTTTTGCAAACATGCTAAGAAGCTGACATGTTTGTATAACTTAAAACTATATTTATGGAAGGGAAAGGCAGGAAAAAAAAAAGTTTTGGATGTATAAACAGTCTCTCCGTTTCAATTTACAGGCCAACATTAAAACAAGATGTGGAAAAATTCAAGTCTAAAATTGACCATGGAAGTAGCTGTGGGTTATGTGTAGAACCTGGTGTGGTTAAACTAGTTTACAGGCAAAGCGGAGAGAGCTGAGGGCAGGCGAGCGCTCACATAGTATCCACGTCCATGGGAATGAAACGGTCCTATATACAAAAGTAAAGCTGTCCTAAACCTCTTTTTTCCCTCCTCAGCAGCTTAGTTTTGATTTCGACTTCTTCAAACACGAACAGGAAGCAGAGGTCGGAAATAAAAATTCGGCTTGAATGGAGCTTTTTTTTTTATCTGAAGGGGCGCAGAAATGTCCTATAAAACTTCTGCTCTTTTAAGATGTCTAGGCCGGACCATAGACCAAGACAGAGGACAGGCATGAGGTTATCATGAGGCAGTCGTGAGACATGAGATGGGGGAAAACACAAACAAGAAACAAAATACATGCAAAGCATATTTGAATACCACAAATTTTCAAACTATACCAACACATGCAAAATATAAAACAAGACTAAATTAAGCATTCAGCAGCGTCCACATCCAGGACATCAACATACAAAAATAACTGAGAAAACAAAAATAGCCAATGTTAAATTATTAATAAAAACAAAACCAAGACATATTGTACTTACAGTATTTTCATCAGAAGCCTTTTCATGATTCTGAAAGTTCCGCGCGCTCCAGCAGAAACATTCAGTCTGGCTACTGGGACTGGGCCAGTAGCCAGAATGGGCTACATGGTTTTGTCATCACTGTCTGTGTACATCGAGGCATTAAAGACGGTGTCACTAAAGCACGAGGGCCACGAGCACCAGAGCCGTGAAACCTCATTCTACCAGAATTCTTTGACCACATGCTAACAGTGGTTTAGAAATCAGGACGAGTGAAAGGCTCTGTCAGCGCTGAGATGATTTTTAAGATAAATAAAACCTTTCAAAGGATGGTTCTTTAAAAAAACCTTTATGTAAAGGAGATGTGCAAATTTGTCTTTTAAAAGTTTAATTAAGAAACCCCATATCGCTGCTGTCGGGACAAAACCTTGTATATTAATTTTTGTCGCTTTTCAGTTTTTGACATAATTTAAAAATGCCTGTTGTCCTTTACATTGTGTCTAAATTTCATGTTGAATGAACCAGAAGAAACAGCCCAAAATTACTTCGAAAAAAGTCTGGTTCCATTGACTTATATTAAAAGTAAGGTGTGTTTTTTCCTTCTCCTGTAAAGTTACCATTTTGGGGACATGAGGTTTTGTTCCAGCAACAGTGACATATAAAAGTTCTATACCAATTAAAGGTTTTTCCCAGAACTGTATGTCCATATCAAGAACCATTCAGGAACGATTTAGAGTATTTAGAGAAACTTTCGTGAATCAGTGACGATACTTGGGATCGATTTCAACACAAATCTTAATAGGATTTTCTCCAGTAATGAATAAACTAACCAGTAAATGAGACACGGTCCATTACGGCCTGATCTGATGGAGTTTAACTGCACTCATCTTCTGGATGTCCCAGAGGCGACTCTGAGCTATCACACAAAGAGGACAGATGTTTGACTCTGAGCACATTTTTGCAGCCATCACTAATCAATTACAAGCGTGCTGCACAGCTCCCAGGTCCATGTGCTTCTCATTTTGGGGAAGCGTGGTGGTCTCACAGGCTGAATAGTGTGGGTTAATTCTGCTAATTGGTTATCACAGCTCTCTTCTGCACTGGAAAAACAATATTAATGGAGAAAAGGTGACCCAACTAGCCCACAGAGAGAAAGAGAAAGAGAGAGAGAGAGAGAGAGAGAGAGAGAGAGGTCTAGACGCCCAAGAGAAGCATGGCTAATTAAAGGCAGAGTTAAAGGTTAACGAAACGTAACTTTTACAGCCACAAGACATATTTCCATTTTGGGAATTTTTATCCCCAAACTTGCTCCGCCTACTTACATTTGCATTTACATTTACGCAAGCCTTTCTGAGCTCGCAGGCTCAGAGTGACTTTAGTCTGACTATGGGTTTAAAGCAATGACCAGTGGCTAATTAGTGTCCTTTAACACACTATTATCTATAAGCGCGTTACATCTGCTCACTGACGTTTTTGCTAAACCTCAATCATACACGTCTGATGCTGTGTACCTACCACACTTCAACAAAGGCTGAAAAGGGGAATTCCACCAATTTTTCAACATTTCAGGATAATTAGATGTAAGTGATTCACAGTGGTTGGTGTGAAATGCTGCATCGTAGAGAAACTCTGATTTTCTTTACAGTGGTGGTGATAGGAACCAGGGGTCATCATGTCTACAACACAAATATAGCCATTTCATTTACTATCCAAAATGACCAGTAACCCTATATGTGTCTTCTGTGTTTTTATATGAAATGTTTATAATGGTAAAATAGTGGTAAATATGAAAATCTGTATTCTTTGGGTAACATTTTGCCTTACCTTGTACCTCACTGTTAATAATATTTATATTTAATAAAACAATGTCTCTGGCAGCAGAAACATAACCATTTTATGTAATACCTTTCTATGAGGGAGATTAAATACTTAAAACGGATGTCTGGTTCCTATCTTCACCACTGTGAACAATTTGAATTCTATAAATTTCTCTAGAACGGTTTCATATGAAACCATTCTGAATGAGTTTGCTTACATTTTAATGATTTAATTACGCATTTTGAAAAATCAGTGGAATTCCCCTCTAATCAGATTCCATTTATCTTTGTCTGAACATCAATGGAGGCATTTTTCTAAAGTGAATATTGAACATCTGAAATATATACACCACGTGTAGCGATTCAGCATCAATACGTGAATCACATTTGGATTGTGCTAATGAAGGGAACAGATCATCTTGTGTCTCAAAACCTATAATTATCTACAACATTTGGACAACTTTAATCAAATCTGAGGATAACTGCGCAATATAGAATGAAAGTCTGTGAGTGTACACTCTCCTAAAACCCTAATTAGAAGGTTAGCAAACCACATGGTAAATAGAAAGGCTTGAAGAAAAATGACCGAACACTTCAAAGGATTGGAAAGTAATTTGATATGGACACAGCCTGATACAGCCAGATGACTTCAAAGTTGGAAAAGTCAGAAAGATGCAGAAAGATGGATCACGCTATTAGAAACAAGCATGCCGGAGCTTACAGCAAAACGATTGACAGTTTAGATCTGAGAAATAAAGAACGCTGAAATTATAACAGTAAGCCTAGGATAAAATAACTGCACAATGCTTGTGAAAATCAGGAGATGTGTTTGTGGTGACTGAGTTCCTGACAGTAAAGAATAACTGTGACTGTTTCTGACAGTAAGCATAACCTTAATTGTAATCACTATTATGAAATGTAATACTATTAACATTGTAGTAATACCATATATGCTGCAGTAATATTGAGTGACATGGCTCTTATTTCAAAACCTGAAGTCAAATCTCTAAGCACACTGATACACCTGACCTCACTAACTTCAAATGTGGCTGTATAATGTCAATAACGAGCTAATAATGAACGCACAGTGAAAAGGGCACATGCACTTCATTCATAACATGACAAATGATAAACATTTCTTCCTCGGAAATCATGCACCGCAGAGTATATCCAATGTGTTCCTCGAGATGACAAAGGCAGGCATTGATGTCTCTTACGAACTTGGAGAGAGCTTCTGAGAAAATAATCAAACACTTAACCGTGCAGTCCGACTCTGCCAAACACAACATTAAAACTGGGAAACAATAAATAGTCCCATAACACGAAGAAACTCGACTTCTGTAACATAGAAACCCAGTCAACAAACCATCAGAGTGGCCACAAACCATCCTTAAATCATAGCCAGCCTCCCCGATCCCTCTGATACATCACTGTTTAATGGAGTCAGGCCTGTAAATAAGTGAGGAATATTGAGAATGTACAGAGAGTAGATCTTGTAACAGGATGTTGCCTTTGCTTGATGTAAATGCATTTTCGAGGAAGCGTACAGTACTCAAATCAACTTAGGCAAATTCTTCCATTAACTAATTGCTCCCCGTGCCATGCGGCATGGCACACGCTACAGACATCTGCGAAATGGATCGCAGAGAGAGCACGGTCCCATCAGAGCTCTACTGTAAAAGTGCCAGAACACAATTTACTCAAAAGCTTCTTCATTCAGAAAACACTTTTCATTCAGAAAGTTTTCTTTGCTGCTCATTATTTGCCATTTGCTAACGCTGTAAGGAGGAATGAACAGAACTGATTAAAAGTTGCATATTTATATACAAAAAGTCTTCGGCACCTGAGAAAATATTATTTAAAAAGCTATTTATTTGGGAAGTGAGTGTTTATTTGAGGGATGTATGATATCGGTATCAATAGATAAAAAAAATAGAAAAAAAAATACGGCATCAGTCTCGCATTTAGATTTGGCCGATAATTTAAACCGATATGTGATGACGTATTTATCGTAGTTTGGAAGAATGGAACGTTTAGCTGACGCTGAGCTGCTGTGCTAAAATATTTGCCTTTTATTCATCTTATCGCATTTGCAGTTTGAATGAAACAGAAAAAATATCATTATATTATATTTCTCTGTAATTCTAATCCACATAGATTTCTCAATTTCAACATTTATAAATATTTGTGTACAGAAACAGCAGGGCTAAATGATTTGGGAAAAATTG